AAAAGCTGAGAAAGGCTCGACTATCGTTACGGTTGGAAAAGTTTGCCTGACCGTGTAAACTGTGTCAGTAAAACTGAGCAGAAAATCTTCAAATCGAATATTTTCTACTAGTTTGTGAGCAAAGCTCCAAGTTTATGTTTGTGTCAGTTGTTGATGTAAATAAAAGGTACACGCTAGCCTTCCTTGTTTGTACATGAGAGTACGTCTGGCCGTGAAAAAGCTTCACATATAGCGACGATTTTTCGCCAAGTCATCAAGTTTACTGCGGGTATCAAAGAAGCTGTTCGGACGATGACAAATCTTCGATTTACCGTCCCAGAGCTGAAGTGCGCCAAGATTTTCTTAATAAATGCGATGTCTGAGCTTAATTGCGCTTGGATAAATTATTGTGCAATTATTTTCGTAATAATTGCGATGTACCATAAACGCTGTCCTTTCGCTATCCGATTTCTGTTCACGACCAGCCGTGTTAGACTGGGTTTTCATTAAAATTCCAACACGTATGCGTGTTGCCACTCCACTGTGAGCGTGTTGCACGCACTCTGTACGGGTGCAACTGTTTATACGTCCACGTTTGAGCGTGTACGTATAAATAATAACCAGTCCTCTGATGGTAATGCGTGAGGGTAAACATAAGCAAAGCTTGCTCAAAACGTATGGATTATTATAATACAGCAGAAAAATGTCTATGGAACTCAAAATAATAGAGATGACTAGGAAAAATTATCCTAATAGTGACACACAATAGCCGCGGTGCACACGGCACGAGCTAAGGACACACGGCACGAGCTAAAGACACACGGCACGAGCTATGGACCCACGGCACGAGCTATGGACACACGGCATGAGCTAAAGAACGAGCTATAGACACACGGCACGAGCTATAGACACACTGCACGAGCTATAGACACACGGCACGAGCTATAGACACACGGCACGAGCATTAGCCAGGTTGTTGAAGGTAAGCCGGTAATGTCATTGCCTTGATATTTGAGGATTCGCTTCATGGGCTCTGCAGTTTCTGCTTATACAGGGTGAACCAGAATTAACTGACCCTTTTAATTTGTTAATAAATAAAAAACTAAGAACGTTATGAAGTTGAAACTTGTTTTATTTAAAAGAAGAACATTTTTATGGTAATATTGTATCCTAGTTTTTAGGATACAATATTACATACAATATTTTAACTAATACATATTATTAATACATAATAATTATTTTAACTAATACAATAATAAAATATTGTAATAGGATACAATATTTTAACTAGGATACAATATTACCATAAAAATGTTCTTCTTTTAAATAAAACAAGTTTCAACTTCATAACTTTGTTTTTATTTATTTATTTATTAACAAATTAAAAGGGTTAGTTAATTCTGGTTCACCCTGTATAAAGGGTAATTTGTGTTTAATTTCGGTTACGACTCGAGCTGCTATGCATATATTCTGAGGTGCGCAGAGTATTTTTATAGCAAATATTTTGGTCTACCACATAGGCCCTAAAATAGACCACCACATAGGCCTACCGTTTAACTTTGTTCATTTGCCAACAAAACTCATTTTCTCATTCAATCCACACTTATTAACTTGCGGGTCAATTTAAACGGACAGCCGAGGATTATCTTAATAGTACGGCACACAAATTCACTTCTCAGTAAATTTCTTCTTCCGCATCTTCTATCACTTAACATCTCCACGTGAATGTCCTTGTATCTGCTACGTAGTTTCTACCTGCATTGTCCATTATAAATAAGATAAATATTAGTCTATGTTGCACATATTTTATTACATGCAAGCAATTTTTCACGGCTTCCTGTTCTCTAACCTCAAATCCTTATAATTACGCAATTTTCACAACAATTGCTTATTTTATTGTCAAGTAAATCATGTTTTCGGTATTGCAGCCCTGCGGATGCGTATGCTTAATGACTTAGGTGTTTAATTTTAACCTTTAACCAGCCAGTCTCAGACATCGCTTATTGATGTCCTAATATCGATAATATTATCTGTTAATATCGATAATATTATCGATAATATTATTTACTAATATCGATAATATTATCTACTAATATCGATAATATTATCGATAATATTGTCTACTAATATCGACAATATTATCTACTAATATCGATAATATTATCGATAATATTGTCTACTAATATCGATAATATTATCGATAATATTATCTACTAACATCGATAATATTTTCGATAATATTTTTTACTAATATCGATAATATTATCGATTATATTAGCTACTAATATCGATAATATTAACGATAATATTAACGATAATATTATTTATAATATTATCTACTAACATCGATAATATTATTTACTAATATCGATAATATTATCTACTAATATCGATATTATTATCGATAATATTATCTACTAATATCTATAATATTATCGATAATAATATCTACTTACATCGATAATATCTTCGATAATATTATCTACTAATATCGACAATATTATCGTTACCACGTGATGCTGTAGGCGTTATAAGGTCAACTCAGTTGCGCAGGATATTTGGCTGCGTGGCATAGGCCCCTTCTTTTTAATGCTGGACACTTTGCATTGCAAATGACGCCTTTTTTATACACAGCGCGCGGGATCAGCATTACCATGCCACGAGCGACCGTGACCCTCAGGTGTCGGCGGGACCATCTTCCCAGACGTTAGATTTCTCGCCGCCACCGGGCTTGGAAGGAGTCCCAGCTGTAAGATTTCTTCCCAGCCGTAAGATTTTATAAGATTTTCCCAGCTGTAAGATTTCTTCCCAGCCGTAAGATTTTTCGCTGCCACCGGGCTTGGAAGAAGTCCCAGCTGTAAGATTTCTTCCTAGCCGTAAGATTTTATAATATTTTCCCAGCCGTAAGATTTTCTAAGATTTTCCCAGCCGTGAAATTTCCTAAGATTTTCCCAGCCCTAAGATTTTCTAAGATTATCCCAGCCGTAAGATTTTCTAAGATTTTCCCAGCCCTAAGATTTTCTAAGATTTTCCCAGCCGTAAAATTTTCTAAGATTTCCCCGACGTAAAATTTTCTAAGATTTTCCCAGCCGTAAAATTTTCTAAGATTTTCCCAGCCCTAAGATTTTCTAAGATTTTCCCAGCCATAATACATTTTCCCAGCCTAAAGGTGTCTCACCGTCACCGGGATTTGAGGAAGTCGATTTCTTCAAAATGTGTTTATATGTACATAAAAATGAATAAGGAATTACGTTATAATAAGTTATTGTTAAAAATAGTGGGTGATTTCTCCTGCAAAAAAGTTCGATGATCCGATTAAAATGTTGTGATTCAAATAATAAAAAAATGTTGTGTTCAATTTGTTTAAAATGTATTGAATTTAATGGTTATTACGATACAATCATTCTTCGGGCCTTTGTCACCAAACGGGAATTCGCTTGAAAAATTTCCCAAGTTTTGAAATTAAATTTTGGGAATTGATTTCTGTAGAAAAATTATTAGGCACACGGGATATATTACAATTGAGTGAGAAACGTTTCGAAGGCTTGGCTCAAAGCATTTTATATCAGTAAATAGAAGTAACTGTGTGGAGTAAGTGAATGTAAATAATTGTTTACATTGCATAACACACGTTTGAATTGCATTACATCCTTTGCTAGTATGCGACGGAGGCATGTATGACCTGTACCCTATTGGAAAAAATTCCCAGCTATTTAGAAGAGCAATAAAAGGTTTGCGGTCTCAGCGGAAACGGTTTTGATGTTTAATTAAATTATAAGTTAAGTTTGAGCCGACGTGAACTGTGTTGGAATTTAAGCAACTTTTGCTGACTAGAATTTTAACTTGAAAAGGAATGCTAACCTCATCCTATGACATCACAACCTTCAGCATCATGACCTATACAATGATACACCTACTATCACAACCGAAAATGTCATACATTCTGCTATCACAGCTTATTGTAGAGACTAATCATGATTTGAGTTAGATAAAATATAGAGAGAAGTTATTCACAAACTGATATGTAACCTGAAGTTGAATTGAATGATATGTAACTCAGTTAAATTTCATTTCTTTTCAAAAAGCACAACTTGAGCTTTTGACTAGCAGCTTTCTTTAGGTTTTAATGTTGCTCAGTTTGGCTCACTAGCTGTTATCACGTATCATGTATGTAAGTACCTGTTAAAATATTCGTTAGTCTAGAATCCCTATAATTTTAATCATCTAATTATGTTCATTGTTAAGCAGGTGTAGGATAAGATTTAATTAAGCTATAAAATACTGGGTGCAAGTGTGCCATTTATTAATAAACGAAGGCGATTCCTGCATGCTTCGGAATTTACTGACATTTAGGCAGCTCTTTCATGTCCCATAATTCACCGAGGTATTCAAGCAACTCATTCATGCCCCAGAATTGTCATTCAGACTGGCAGACTATCACTTTCACCAGCCGACGCTCAATATTCATCGTACGACATTGGGTTCAAAGATTCACGTCTGCGATTGCCCCTGTAAAGATGACATTGCGATGGCCGGTGTTAAAGATTTAGAACTCGAAAGGCCCCATGTCGTATGCTGGTATACGAGCTGTGGGAAACATTGCGGCTATTTGAATAAATTTGTGTTGCTATTTCGTTAATTTATTTTTTGCTTAAAATGAGAATTGCAGCAATACCTGTGGTAGAATTATTTGTAGCAGTTATAGTAATCTAATGACCTGTCATGGTCCGGCCGAAAAAGGCTACAATGGCTTCTAATGACTGCCGAGAAACAAGCCAAAAAATGATACTCGTTGTATTTTTTGTTCCTCAAATGGCACTCCAAATATACATAAAAAATAGTTGTAACGGCATTTAGACAAACCAGCAAAAACAGCACTGGCGCTCGATATGGAATCAGGCAATCAATTCATGTCACCAACATGGGACTTTCTTGCAGCAGCCACCGCGAGATCGCGCTCATCTGCCGCCTCCTTGGTTCGCTGCAGGATGGAGACTCTCTCGAAGGTCGAAGCTGTAGGATATAAGCTAGGGTCCTTTCACAGGACGTGTCAGTAACTCGCTCTCTTCGCTACCCAACGACCGACCGCGCCAGGTGAGACCTGTAGTCAAGGCTCTGCCACGTACTTGCAATTGTCTTTTCCAGCGCCGCTGTGTAGAAGATGCACTTAAAATGAGTAGAATGACATGCTCTATTTGGGTTTAGTACAGAACTATTTCATTAACTGTGTCCTGTTGTCTGCACTATTATTTGTACAATGACAGTTCAACATTAACAGAACCGGTGCACGGTTCGGTATATAGTTTTTTGGACAACGAATAATGAACTTGGTATTGGTATCAACTTATTTTGTAAAATAGAATTGTATGTCTGGTGTGTACAGACTTACATTTGTACAGTGGAATGCTGTCCCCGGTGTGTACAGACTTACATATGTACAGTGGAATGCTGTGCCCAGCGTGTACAGACTTACATTTGTACAGTGGAATGCTGTGCCCGGTGTGTACAGACTTACATTTGTACAGTGGAATGCTGTGCCCGGTGTGTACAGACTTACATTTGTACAGTGGAATGCTGTGTTCGGTGTGTACAGACTTACATTTGTACAGTGGAATGCTGTGGCCGGCGTGTACAGACTTACATTTGTACAGTAGAATGCTGTGGCCGGTGTGTACAGGCTTACTTTTGTACAGTGGCTAGCTGCGAAGCGTACATGTCTTAAAATTGTTTATTTCAGAGCACCAAACTCCATTTTAGAAGATGCACTGAATTTGCGCGCAGTGGAATGATGTGCTTGATGAGCGTACTAAATCATAAATGCACAATGGAATGCGATGCAAAATCAGTGTACAAAGTATGCGATACAATTAAAGTCTCGTATGTGGAGAAGCGAATGCTTGGCCAATTGTACATAGAAAAATTTTTGAAAAGGGAATGCCAGCCTGGAAAGTGTAATGACTTTTCTCTTTTTCTCAATTGTGGAGTGCAGTACGCGGTATGAATATAATATTTATATTTTCAATGCACTGTTATAAAAAACGGTAAAAAACGGTCCCACTGGCGTTCTAGTGGCCGGTCGCCCCGTAAAAATAAACTATTTCGCCGTTTTATTAGATGTTTTACGGTATTCTAGTGTTAAATTAGAATAAAAACGGCGACACTGTGTTTCTTTTCACGTGCCCACCGGCCACTGAAACTCCGATAATACCGTTAACGGTAATTTTTCTAACAGTGTGTGTCTGTAATGGGTGAGTGAACTAATTTTTTTTGCTCGAAGAAATTGAGTGTCCTGTGACAGCATCTATTTTTTTTATTCTGATAGAATGCATTTTATGACAGCATAGTACATTTTGCCAGTAGTGTTATCAAATATCAGCTCCCAATAATGTAGAAGAGTTGCAGAGGCGATCAATATAATTTGAAAACAAAAAAAAAAAACCGTCATGAAAAAAAACCCGTCATGAAAAAACCCGTCATGAAAAACCCGTCATGAAAAAAACCCGTCATGAAAAAACCCGTCATGAAAAAAAACCCGTCATGAAATTCTGATCGAGATGTTTTCGAGCTTCTATTGCGCTGGTCATTGGAGGTTGCTCGAAACTAAAATAAACGTGAAATACAGAATCCGAGAAATAATAAAATAAAATTATTTCACGTAAATTCGCAATTAAACGTTAATTCTTCCGAAACATACGTATTCGATGGAACGTCTTGCAATTTCACTATTTCGTTTACAGCTTGAATCGACCAAATTAAAAATGGAAGCACAGATTATTTTATCAAAATATATGGACTATAAGTTTTTCTGAAAAACATTTACTATGAAAATAGCGTCGAAAAGGGTCATCTATTCAGTTATACTTTCAGCTTCAACTTTATTAAGACTGTTGGAATCGATGTCAAGCTTACAACCGTACAGAGATAAAACTTCACTGTATTTCTACTGCACAGTTCACTACGAAAGGTTCTGCAACTGCACTATCCTTTCATACGGTTGCGTTAAAATCAAGCTATATAACTTTGCATATGATTACCATCTAATTTTTATTTAATCACATAAATAATAAATACAATATTAATTGTATTATAATTTATAGCAATTACATGCTAATATTCTCGATGCTTTATAACATTCCATACGAGTACTATCCAATTTTTATTTAATCATATAAATGATAAATATAATATAAATTATTTTATAGTATATAGCAATTACATGCTAATATTCTCGATGCTATATAACATTCCATATGAGTGCCATCTAATTTTTATTTAATCATATAAATAATAAATACAACATTAATTATATTATCATTTATAACAATTACAAGCAAATATTCTAGTGCTGCCATAATATTAAAAATAATTAATTGAACCGAGTTAATCTTCGCACAGGAAGAAACAATCGGGATATCTTTTTTTCATATTTAAAAACAATTTGCAAATGATAGCTTGTATTTACATGAAAATTTTCCATGTCCATTCTCAGTTTAACGCTTGTATTTTAACGTCTAACTCCCAATTTGTTATACCAGACAACTTAATTGCATTTGCTGAAATACGACCAGGCTGAGAAACGAATAATTTAGAAGCGTAATTCATTCTTCGTGCGTAAAAAACTTCACTGAGCATTTTTAAAGCGTATGCTAATAACCGAACGTGCGCTCAGCTCAAATGGCTGCATGGAGCCCGGGCACTTTCGTTTGTAATCAAACGCTGATCTTTAACAAGCAGCAAGCCTTTGTGCCATGACTTTTCCTTTCTAGCTTCCAGCCACTAAAGGATTACACCCGAAAAAAAAAGTTTAGGTCCCTTCACTTGAATGGCCGGACTGCTTTTACAACAACACGGTTGAAGGATTGTTGTTGATGTCAGACATCGATAGAACTTGAAAGTTTTGTTTACTAAAACTAAGAAATGAATTGACCTGCGAATTAAAATGTTCCAATTTAAATTGTTTGGGTAAAGTACTTGCAAAGATAGACCATAATAGCTGGTAGGATAAGTCCTTATATAGCTGCTTCTATTCCTTATAATACAGTATAAGTCCTTATATAGCTGCTTATGAATAAAGTAGCTTCTATTTAAATTTGCGCAGAATGTCTGTCGCTGAGTCCGTCGGCGAAAAGGTTTCCTTATTAATTTTTCCATAGAATTCCAAATTTGAGAGGTCGAACTAATTGAAAATGCATAGTTCCATTTTGCCATTTAGAGTATTAAAAGTATTTCAATTATTAAATTATTATTAAAAGTATTTAATTTTTTTTACATTTTACCATTTTAATTTTACATTTTAATTTTAATTGTGCATTCAGCCCCAACACCGCCATGTCTCGAACTGTTTTCGCCCTCCTCGCGCTCCTTGTGGCCACCGCCGGCGCACGGATGGCATACCAGCTCCCAGACGGCGCTGATTCGATCCTGAAAGCCAGAACCTTCACGCAGAACTTCGACTGTGCCGACAGAAGATATGGGTACGTAAAGAGTAGAAAAGACCAGGGCCTATACTTTCAAAGAAAGTTAAGAGATCGAAGTTCATCAGCCAATCATTGACGGCCTTTCAAGCAAATCCACCAATCATAGACAAGAAAATAGAGCGTAAGAACTTAGGTTCACTTAGCGAGCTTTGAAAGTATGGCCCCAGGGCCTATACTTTAAAAAAAAGTTGAGACATCGTAAGTTCATCAGTCAATCATTGACAGCCTTTCAAGCAAAATCTACCAATCATAGACAAGAAAATAGAGCGTAAGTACTTACGTTCACTAAGCAAGTTTTGAAAGCATGGCCCCTGTGCATGAAGGCCAGAACGAAGTTTTTAATCTAAATTCAAAGCGCGGAACTTTGACTACGAAGGCATAAACTATAGGAGTACGTATAAATATTTTTAAAGCAAAATGAATAACGTAACACTTCGACTACGGAGGCAGAAGATACGAGTACGTAGAAGAAAAGATAGCCCGAGCATGCAGGATTAAGCCTTGCTTCCAAGGTAAAGTTCATCACGAATCATTTCGCCAGAAAATACAATGGATAGGAGTGCGTGAAATATAAAAAATAGCCTGCCCATGAAGGATTTATCCATGTTTTTAAAGGCAAAGTCCATTACGTTGAACTTCGACTGCGAAGGCTTTGGATACGAGAGAGTAAAAAGTAAAAAATCCGCTCATGAAGGATTTGCGAATGTTTTTAAAGCGAATCCCTTCACGCCGAACATTGATTTTGAAGGCAAAAAACAAAAAGTCGTAAATTGCTTCTCATGGATTTTTGTAAGAAAATAACGAATGGCAAATTCTTGGCGTGTATAACGATTTCGTTGACATAAATATATACATATATATTTTTACCTGTACTGAATTCACGAACTTCATACGTTCATTAAGCTCCCCTAGAAAACTTCGTGAATTTTGGGTGTCGGTATGATTAATAAATGAATACAAAACTAATTTTATTGAACCGAGACCGATCGTGACTGCCATGTTTTTGACTGCTTCGTAAAGTTTGTCAACAACAGAGACCATTTTGTCCTTTTTAGCGCATTTTCTCATTTATGGAAAAAATTAACTATTGTGCTCGCCATGTCTGTCTGTCTGTCCGTCTGTCCGTCTGTCCGTCTGTCCGTCTGTCCCTCCGTCCGTCTGTCCGTCCGTGACTTCACGTTTTCGTCGACGAGAAAATGCGCTCTCTGTCACTCACTGCAGTGAGTACTGAGTAATATTTTTGTAGAACTTAGGATGATAATATAGCGTTTATTGATACTATTACACACCAACTTAAATTTATTTTTCATACATTCCTTGCAGTTACTACGCCGATACGGACAACGACTGTCAGATTTTCCACGTCTGCCTGCCTATCGAAGACGACGCTGGCCAGATCGTCGAGACGGCGCATTTTTCCTTCATCTGCGGCAACCAAACAATCTTCGACCAGTCCACGCTGACGTGCAACGATGAAGAAAACGCACTGCCTTGTGACGAGGCTAAGAACTTCTACGATGTTATTAACGCCGAGTTTGGGGTGCTCCCTGAACAGTAAACGCTATTGATGATTATATTACTTTGTTGAACGTTTTTTTTATCGTCGATTTGTAGAATAATCGAATATGTTATAGCGGAGATTTACATTTAGGTTAATGAAAGGAAAATGATTGAGCAATAAGTAGACTGATATTGAAGAAGCCTTGTATTTTTGTAATAAAGCTGCCATATTAAAATGTGCTTCTTCTTTAAGATGTTTTTAAGTTACAACTATATGGCCATTAGTCCATTAGAGTGTATCATTGCTCGAAATTTAGCCATGATTTTATAATTTTATCTCAGCTCTTCACTGAAAATGAGTTGTATTTCAAATTATTACATACCAGTAAATTTTGATAACTTTTCAAATTTTTTTTTGTAAGTAGATTTGAATGTGAATTGATCAGACTCTTTTGTTGTATTTTTCTATGACATAAAAAATGTTTTTTTTTTATATAAATGGGTTTAGCTTTCATACAAATTTTGAGACTAGAGCAATAATGAAAGTGTTTTTTATTTGCCGTATTCCACTTTATGTTCAATTCATGCTATTGGAACTTCATATGAATAAATGCGTAATTTAAAAGTTAAAATATTCCACATTCTAATTTGGAAGTTCGCTATAGTTATGATTGATACGAGTGCCATTTCTCATTCTTTAGTTTGACTGAAGCGTCTTGATGGTAAATAAATGGAAAGCGATATGTCCAATAATTATAAAATTGAATGTTCAATGCACATTTTTGGCCGATATTATATCGATTCAAGTTTTCCCTAATTATAATAACGATTTGAGTTTTTATTTTGTGAAAACCTATCAAGTTCAGTGTACATAAAAAAGATATATTTATTTATTTATTGATGTAAGCGCACGAAACTTTTCATGAATAAAGTCAAGTTTGAAATCTGATTTAACTTCGTTTTCCTTTCTCTTAATATTGGTTAAAACGTTGACTCCGATTGCTTCATCTTGCACTATTATTTAATTATATGTACTATTATGAAACAAAGTGGCCAGACGTCTTTTTTCAGTCAAATTCTGCGATTTAGTTTTTTTTCAATGGCGTTTGCCGGCTTAAATTTATAATAGGGGTACTTACTAATTAAATTTTGAAAAAAGGAAATGGAATTTTTACACCGGAACCTACAAATGTACAAGTATATTTTGAGTTATAGGCTTTTTTTGGCCATTTTACAACGCGGACTTGGCAATTTTTATATGGTACCACTTCGGAGTCAACGTGGTAATCATCAATAATGTCCTATTTTATACAAACACATATTATACAGTCTCTATTTTTAACGGATTCCACACGATAATCAAGAGCAAATATATAACTTGACGAAAATCTTTTAGAAACTTTAAAATAATCTTGTAGTTCAAGAACTTCAGTTACATTGTTACCTCGACACATTGTCTTCATTCCGAACATCAAGACTGCGCCAAAGTTTGAGTTGAATTTGTTGACTTCGGTTTGCAGGTTTGACAGTTCCGAGTTAAGCATTAGTAAATTACGCCTAGCATAACATTAAGTCTAGCAAATTACGGACCAGGCAATAAGTCCAGCAGCTATCTCAATCAATCGTCAGTTATGGAAAGATCGGGTTCCAAAGGCCGGATTCCTTGTGAATCAAGTCACGAAAAGTTCACGAATCGGTAACAGGCCATGGGCCTATTTTCTTCAATCCCGACACTTCTATTCTATTCTATTTTATTAGTTTGTTGTTTATTGCAATGCGATAAAGGCATCCAAGAACCAATTAGTTTTCAGGTGCATGTAAAACATCAACAAAGAAATCAGTGCATGAAAGCGTTAAGTTTCAAGAATTCCATGCTGAAGTTTAGCGTTTATGCTGATTTTCGTGGTTATTGCAATTGGAATTTCCCAGTCTGTATTATAGAGACTACGCGCGCCACTCCCTTGATTGTTTTGTTGATTGTCTTTGTTGCTCTTGTGAGATCAGATGGACGGTTCTGATGATGGATCAGATGGACGGTTCTGATGATGGATCAGATGGACGGTTCTGATGATGGATCAGATGGACGGTTCTAATGATGGATCAGATGGACGGGTCTGATGATGGATCAGATGGACGGTTCTGATGATGAACGGTTCTAATTATGATCAGATGGACGGTTCTAATGATGGATCAGATGGACGGTTGTGATGAATCTACGTGTTTTTTTTTCGTCCAGGTTTCCTTTTTCCACCATTGCTTGTCTCAATTTTTGCGATCATATCGTGTGCCCATGGTATGTGAAACCATTAGTTTCTACAGATGAATTATGGTTTGTACAGATGAAACCATTAGTTTCTCCAAAAATCTCCTAAATTTATAGAAAAGAAAATCGTAACTTGCGGGAAAAGTATACATAAAATTTTAATGAAATTGAAGATAGTTTGTTCAAATAACACAATTTATCATCAACGCAACACGAATACATATAATAGTTGTGAAGGATATGGTACCATTTTAAGGTAAAAAAATCACGTGTGAATGTTGGCCATATGAGCTGCATGAAAAAGCAATATTTTTTGCGGACTGAAACTAATTTAAAATGCTAGTGCACGGAAGATCTTTGTAACTATACTAGTGGAAGACATATATATTTTTAGTTGCTGATGGGAAGGAAGAAATTTTCAACCACTGCTGGAAGACAAAATATCCCCAGCAGTCGCTGAATGAATCATAAGAAACCTCATAGAATAGAATAGAATAGAATAGAATAGAATAGAATAGAATAGAATAGAATAGAATAGAATAGAATAGAATAGAATAGAATAGAATAGAAGTGTCGGCGCTGAAGAAATAGGCCCATGGCCTGTTGCCGATTCTTGAACTTTTCGTGACTTGATTCACAAGGGATCCGGCCTTTGGAACCCGATCTTTCCATAGAATCATGGTGGCACAATAGAAATCTTGCGGCTTTTAAAGACAGTTCGATTGACAAGGTACTGCTGAATTCATTGGTTCACAGTTTCTTATATTTTTTATGCTATTTTGGCCTGAGTCAACTCATAAAGTTTCTCACTCGAATATTGAAGGACAATTTTCAGACCATAGCTTTACATTGACGCGTTAGTAAAGCTCTGCACCACAATTATTAAATTATATTCATGTCACAAAATCAACCATATTGCAATGCGAGATAGGAAAACATGTCGGCAGCTTTAACGTTTCGGAAAAGTTCATAATAATTCTCCTGTTCGATAATTCATCATTAAAACTACAAAATACTGAGACAGCGTTAAGCCTTAATGTAATTAAAAGGAGGAAGTTGACTTTGCACGAGGTACAAAGTCAACATCCTCATAAAAACTTCATACATCCTAGAAAACTTCATAATAATTCTCTTAGATAATTGGAATCTCTTAATTAAAATTCTCTTATTCTCTGGATAATTAGAATAGAATAGAATAGAAGTGTCGGCACTGAAGAAATAGGCGATCATGGCCTATTGCCGTTGTTAATTCATCATTAAAACCACAGAATGCTGAGACAGCGTTAATCCTTAATGTAATTAAATGGGATGATGTTGACTTTGTACCTCGTACAAGGTAATAATTCATTCGATAATTCATCATTAAAATCACACAATACTGAGACAGCATTAAGCCTTAATGTAATTAAATGGGATGATGTTGACTTTGTACGAGGTACAGGGTAATAATTCATTCGATAATTCATCACTAAAACCACGCAATTCTGAGACAGCGTTAATCCTTAATGTAATTAAAAGGGAGGATGTTGACTTTGTACCTCGTACAAGGGTGAGCTGTCACTAACCTCTCCCTCCTTCAGGAAGACCAAGACGTGCGTTGCGACACGCGTCGCTGACGCTCGCCCAGGGAAGGCCACGAGTCCCAGGGCCATAAGTGTGGTGGCAAGCTGCCTACCCCGCCCGTTAAATAAGCTGCTATTATAATGTCGTCTTGGGTAGTTAGCTGTATACTATTATATTGTTATCACCTATATGTTATTAACTATATACTATTATATTATTATTAACTATGTTCTATTATAATAATAGCAATTAGCTACTATTATACTGTCGTCTTGGGTACTTAACTATATAGTATTATTTTATCATTAACTATATACTATTATAATTATAGCAATTAACTACTATTATAATGTCGTCTTGGGTACTTAGCTATATACTATGATATTATTATTAACTATCTAATAATAATAGCAATTAGCTACTATTATAATGTCATCTTGGGGAGTTAACTATATACTATTATATTATTATTACCTATATGCTATTATAATAGGAGCAATTAGCTACTATATAATGTCTTGGGTATTTAACTATATACTATTATATTATTATTAACCATATACTATTATAATAATAGCAATAGCTACTATTATAATGTCGTCTTGGGTAGTTAACTGTATACTATTATATTATTATCACCTACATGCTATTAACTATATACTATTATAATAGGAGCAATTAGCTACTCTTATAATGTCGTCTTGGATACTTAACTATATACTATCATATTATTATTACCTATATACTATTATAATAATAGGAATTTTCTACTATATAATATTGTCTTGGGAAGTTAAACCGTTTTTTTAACGGAAATATTAACTATTGACAATGATGCTATTTGTACGTTGTCTGGTAACGTTTTTTTGCCGTTGCTGGATAAAAGGTTAGACACAAAATCCACACACGTAAATTTAATATGAATCTTTGTCAAAAAGTATCCAAATAACCATGAACTTCAGTGCTTGAGAAAATTTGGTAACCTTCAAGTGCACTGCGCAGAGTCTGTTGCTCCTTCACAAGTTAATTTTTATTTTAGTGATATGTAAATTGGTTGAAATTAAACTTCTTTAAAATAAATATACAATTACCGCCACTCCTCATGCCCATGAACTGATTATATATTAAACGTCTTCGGACTAATTAATTTATTCCTAGAACTAAAAAAAGATCTTTCGAGTATCTGAACTATTAAACCTGAACTACATTATGCTAGAATTACTACAGAGTGGAGGTCAATCAATATCCAATTACGTACGGAACAGACATAGAATTATGTCAAATGTTGCGAGAAGAAAGTCATGATATGGAATCTATCGGATGATACAAAAAATATAACTCAGTACTCACAGCAGTGAGTAACAGAGAGCGCATTTTCTCGTCGACGAAAACTTGAGGTCACGGACGGACGGACAGACGGACAGACGGACAGACTGACGGACATGGCGAGCACAATAGTGCATTTTTTCCATAAATGAGAAAATGCACTACAAACAACGATCAGCATAGATGAATGTTGGAAAAACATTTTAAATGAAAAATATAAGAAAAATAACACTTAGTATATTTACAAGTCTGGCATACAACATCGCTCAAAAAAATACATACGGCGTTGTCCAAATAGCGATGCAATTTTGCGCCTATGTGTGTCATCATGACAAAATTTGGGCCGGAAAAAGGACGTATCAGTGATACACGCAGCAAGTTTGTCGCTATCTAGGCCTATACTTTCAGAAAAAGTTAAGAGATCGTAAGTTCATCAGCCAATCATTGACGGCCTTTCGAGCAAAATCCACCAATCACAGACAAGAAAATAGAGCGTAAGTACTTGCGTTCACATAACAAGTTTTGAAAGTATGGCCCCTGGGCAATGTGACCCATAAATTTTTCTGCGTGATTGGAACCATATTATGTAGGTTGAAATACATGACCAGACCCCAGGTTAGGTTTCGGATGAACAAAACCGAAATTACCAGAAAAAATACTCTACATAAATTGAAAACATGTTTCCCACCACAACATACAATCTTCATCAGGGAACCTTGAAAAAGTGTCAGAAATTTATGCTCATTGTGATTATTACTTTTTTTTGGCCTATGAAGTTGTTTACTTTTTGCTTGGAT